AATGAAGATGAAACTGCCTAAACCTGTTCCTGACCGCCCTCCAGCTATCCCAGCACTTTGCTCTATTCCCTATGCCTGGTTCCTTCTACAATATTTAACTTGCTTCAAAAATCTAAAACCCAAAACACAATCACACTTAGCAAGCAATTAAAAAAGTTTAGTTTTCAAATATTCCCTTTGGCCTCCTCAGAGGTAAAATTGTAGGAATACACTCAGATTTGCCCTTTCCTATAGTCTTGTGGAAAATCTGCTATTTCAGTGCAAACTTTGCAAGACTGGGGAGACAAACACCTACTTCTATGAAATTTCTTGCAACCTTGAACTGTATGTGATCAATGACTTTCACGTAATTTCTTGTAACCCTGAACTGTATGAGATTAATGACCGTGAATTATGCAAGTTACCACCTTACCAGATCACCAAAACATCATTTATTCACTCATCTGAATGCCACATGCATTCAACCATGAATTTGTTCAATTCAGTTATTAATCATTAATAGCTGAATTTTCATTTTCAAATAAAGATAAGCAGTCTAAATACAACCTGCGCAAATATTTCCTCATGTACTTTTTAGATTAAATTTCCGTTAAAAAAATGTAAATTTATTAAGATGAAAATTCCACTGCACGTAATTAAATTGTCAAAGCTATTAATCTTTCAAAAAAAATACTTAACCTTCAAATAATTAAATACAAAAACTAATGATTAAAATAAAAAAGTATACATCTCGTACAGCTTTAGGAACCATGGTTTTGGAACAACAAACATCTTTGTAGCTTTTAACATCAAATAAGATACCTTAAAGAATTAAATTTGAATTTCTAGGTGTATAATTCAAATTTAGCTCCTGAGTCTTTAAAGTCCTACTTGGAAACTTAGCATGTCTTCTCAGGATGAGTTAAAAAAACCAGTGTCATCTTTATACCTCAAAAATTCTTAACAGAGAAAAAATTATCTGTAAAAATATACAATATTCATTATAAGTCATCTCTCAACCCATACATAAAAAGAACATGAACAGAATAACAAGTTATTCTCAACAACTGATCATCAAAATAACACTTTTATAAGAACGCTCTGGTATAATACCTTACAGGTCTGAGTCCACAAAAACGAACAAACAAAATCTGCCAAAGCTATGAGTCCTGCACTTAATATTCCTTCCAGAAAACATGGTTTTCAAAGACACTTTCCTAAATTTAATTCCACTACATACCAAAATGTAGAGAATATCATTTGATTTATTTACAGAAAACCACCAGAAGTCTTGGTAAGTTTCTTCTCTGCTTGCTTGCCAAGAGACTCATGGGCAGCTCACACAGACAAGCAAATCTGACTGAATGTTTGTACAGTAAAATTTGTCATGCAATGGTCCCGGATAACGGAAAAGCTGGATATCAGGAACATAAATAACACAGTATGTTGTTCACACCCTTCAGCTGTGTGCTCAGATTATAGCCAACAAAACATGAAAAGCATCACCAGTGGTTATCAGAGAGTGATTCCTGGTGGTTATCAGAGAGTGATTCCCATTTGTTCTTCAACCAGACAACCCCTGGGATGTTTCTCAGGTGTTGAAGAATTGCCTATTCCTGGACCCATTGCTACTGTTCAATAATCAAGATGGAAACCATCTATTAAATGTTGCAAGGCTAGAGTTTAACTGCAGTTTGCAGAGAGGGAGAAAAATGGCAAGCCTAATTGTCATGGATCTGTTGGAACCTGCACAATGACCCACCCAGAGGCACCTCTTTAAGCCTATAGGATGCATGCTTTTCAGCTCCTCCTACTGCCCACCAGACTTCCTCATCTGAAAAGCTATGTTTCTATGCATGTTTAAGGAAGGACCAAAGGCTTTCAGTAATTATATGTAGCAGCCAACACACGCAAGACTATTAGAAATGTGCACAAAGGCAACCTAAAACCCACTTCTTTTCAAAGTGTCAGGTGGCCTCTGCTTCAAACACCAGTACCATCGGTTAAATCTCCAAACCAAGGCACTAGAGAGGAGGTAAGTGTAGAACCTGGCTACTGGGAGAGAGGAAGACGCTTGGTAATGTGCAGGTTAGCTCAATCAGCAATGTCATACCTACAGCAGCTAGAAAAACATTTTCCTTTCCTAACGACTTCAGGACAGTGGGCATGCAGTGATCACCAGAGTCATTTTCCTGTATCAGAACCTGCAAGCTGTTCAAATCTGACCAGAATGTTTGACTTAAAAAAAAAAAAAGATGACATGTTATTGACTTAAAATTGTAGGTTTATTCTTGTATCCCTGGAATGTTGCTTTACAATGGTGGCATTTGCTTTTGAGCTCAGCTGAATACTGATTTTAGCTTTTGGCCCTCCAGCATTTACTCAAAATGTCTATGCCAAGCACTTCAGGGATATGGCCACGGAAAATCCAAATGACCAATGGAAGGAAGAAAAGCGTATCTATAACCCTCATTTGGTAAAAACGTGATCTTGCTTTGGGACCTTATACACTTGGATGAGCAAAACCTCAGAAGTTGTCAGAAGTGCTGGTTAAATTCACCTTTTTACAGAGATCATTTAAAATCCTTGTCTGCGAGAACTCTCAATGCCTCAAAGTTGATCACCTGAAACGTGGAAGGGTAGAAACTACTTTAAAGACTTTAATATTCCTAAAATAACCCAGGGCTTGTTGCCGCTATAGTTGGTGCGTGAGGACTCCAGGTGTTTTAGAAGCTGGAACTGCATTGACTGGAATGAAACTGGAGCTGAGCCACGAGAAGCAAAGAACCCAAAGGACAAGTAGAGAGAGGGTTAGCATGGAGGGCAAGAGTCTGCTCAAGTGCCGAGGATGCTGGAGATAGGGTCAGGGGCGCCTAGGTGTCTCTGTTGCTTCAGTGTCTGCGTCTTGGTTCTGGCTCAGGTTGTGATCTCAGAGTCGTGGGATCGGGCCCGTGTCAGGCTTCCTGCTCAGCGTTGATTCTTTCCCTGTCCCTCTTCTTCCCACTCCACTCCTTGTGCACACACGTGCTCTCTTACTCTCAAAAATAAATAAAACATTAAAAAAAAAAAAAAGGCAATAGAGAATCAGCTGAAACCTGTCTGTGGCAACCTTTGTGAGGTTGAGCCTCTTTTTGCTGAACGTAGGAGAGCCACAGGGCAAGAGTTTGGACGAGAGGAAACAAGGGGTTGAAATGGAAATGGACACAAGCGGTACTATCATAGAAGGCAACAGGCTGATGGACTTGGAAAAACTAACAGAACCAACTGACCCTTAGGGAGCCACAAATCACGCATGAAATGCTGCACACTGATGTAAAATACAGGGGAAAAGCACTGAGTAAAAGAATGCACGGATGTCCGTAAAGTCGATTCAGATTCTCTCTCAGTAGCAGCAAACACGTTGCCAAGAAAACAGGTTGTCATTTGACAAAGACTAAAATCCTCCCACAGGATGAAGGCTTGTCTGACCTACCAACTCAGGGGCTGTGGAACTTCAACTTTCTGACCATCCACCTCCAGGTCCTCCAGTTCCTTGAAATACTTGTTCTTCAGGCAGTGAAGAATCTCCTTTGCGTGGCTATTAAAAAATAAGTAAGTTTTGATCCCATCTGGATGGCTAATACGATACATTTTATCCTGTGTGAACCCAAGGTGACACGTGTCTTAAAACAAAACCCCCTTTGCACTGAAAGCGCGCCTCTTTCATCCCTGTTTTCTTCCTCTACCCCTTCCAAGTTTAAACGACCGTCATTGTTTCACCGTTACGGGAGTGCTGCATTCCTTCCCTCCCAAATATTCCCACAGCTCATATTTACTTGCAACTCACCTGGGAGAGATGGTACCACAAAGATTTGAAGGGACAGAGAACTGGGGTTTCGCACAAACTGTGTGATGACATCAATTCTCAGGTGTCCCCGGGGGAGGGGCACCCTCGGCTCTCCAATGCCCAGGGGCCACCCTTGCCCAGATGGCACCCTCCCGCGTTGCGGTCTCCCGCCCTGCACACCCCGGCTTACTGCGTGCGACCCCTGCGCTCCGCCCTCCCGCTTCCAGACCCTGGAATCCACGGCGCGGCGCCGGGGAGCAGTGGTCGGGGGCAGGGCGGGTGCGGGAGCGCCCTGGCCGCGAACCGAGGGCGGCTCGACAGGCAGCCAAGCCAGCGCACGACCCCCTACCTTTTGTAGCCAGTGATTCGCAAAGTGGCCGGGAGGGGCTCCCTGAGCGCTCCCATGAACTGCTCCCACTCGCCCTCGGGCACGATCTTGAGCTCCTGGTAGTAGTGCTCGAAGAGCTTGTTCTCCTTGACGATCTCGGGATAGCCGCCTTCCCAGGCCTGCGGAACGAGACGCGCGTCCACCCAGGGCAGCGGCGCCGCGGGGGCCGGCTCGCCGACGGGGCCCCCGCCCGCCCGCGCGCCCCGGCTCCTACCCCCTCCGGGCGCTTGCCGCCGCCCTCGGCGCCGTCCTCCGCGCGCTGCGGCCGCTGCTGCTGCTGCTGCTGCTGCTGCTGCTGCTGGAGCCGCCGGCCCCGCGCCCGCCGCCCCATGGCCCACGCGGCCGCGCACGCCGCCCGCACCCAGCTCCCCGCCACGGCCCGCGCAGCGGACTTCCGGGCTGGCGCGAGGACCCCGGCTCCGCGCCTGCGCCGTTCCGGGGCCCGCGGGCGCCGCGGGGAAGACGCCCAAGGCGCCGCGGCCCGTGCTCTCGGGGAGCAGCGAGCGAGCGAGGGGAAGCGCGGGCGGCGCCCGAGAGGGACGGGGGCCCCCGGAGAGCAGCCCCGAGGTCGCCCGCGCGGACTCCGGCAGCTCCGCGGACAGCCCGCGGCCGCGCGTGCGCAGACCGGCGAGGGGGCGGGGCTTCGGCCGCGGGAACTGGGCCCGCCCCCGCCCCCCTCGGCGCCCGCCCGCGTCCAATCCGACCGGCGGGAGCGGAGCGCACGCGCGTCGGGGCGTCCGGGGAGGGCCGGGGTGCGACCGGCGCCTGGACGCCCGCGCCCGCGCCCGCCTCAGGTAACCGCGGCCCCCGCCCCCCGCCCCCCGGCCGCCGCCGCCCTATAAGTGGCCCGCCGCGGCCGCGGGGCCATGGGGCGTGCCAGCGCGTCCCCGCCATGGAGCCGGCCGAGGTCTTCCCGCTGGACGCCCTCGCCTACCTGCAGTGCGCGCTGGGCTTCCTGGGCTCCCTGCTGCTCCGGCAGGCGGCCTCGTCCTACGGGCGCTACGTGTCGCCGGGCGCCGCCTTCGGGGTGCCGGCGCGGGCCGCCTGGGCGCTGCAGGAGCTGCCCTCGCTGGCCGTGCCGCTGTGGGTGTGCGCCCGCACCGCGGCCGAGCGCCTCCGCCGCGCGCCCAACCGCATCCTCCTGGCCATGTTCCTCCTGCACTACGCGCAACGGTAACGGCCGGCGCCTGGCGCCGCCCCGCCCCGCCCCGCGGACCCTGCCCGCCCCCTGCGCCCCCTGCGCCCCGCGGACCCTGCCCGCCCCCTGCGCCCCGCGGACCCTGCCCGTCCCCTGCGCCCCGCGGACCCTGCCCGCCCCCTGCGCCCCGCGGACCCTGCCCGTCCCCTGCGCCCCCTGCACACCGCGGACCCTGCCCGCCCCCTGCGCCTCGCGGCCCCTGCCCGTCCGCTGCGCCCCCTGCGCCCCGCGGACCCTGCCCGCCCCCTGCGCCCCCTGCGCCCCGCGGACCCTGCCCGCCCCCTGCGCCCCCTGCGCCCCGCGGACCCTGCCCGCCCCCTGCGCCCCCTGCGCCCCGCGGACCCTGCCCGCCCCCTGCGCCCCGCGGACCCTGCCCGCCCCCTGCGCCCCCTGCGCCCCGCGGACCCTGCCCGCCCCCTGCGCCCCGCCGAGGCGCCGCCTCCACCGTCCTCCCTCCTCAAACCGCGCCTGCCCCTGCCCCTGCACCCTGCCTCCCGACCTTTCCCAGTGGCAGCCTCCGCGCGCCCTCCCTCGCGCCCGGTCCTAATGACGTCTCCGCCTGTGCCGCCCTTGCCCTATAACGGGCACCGTCCTCATCCTCCCCCGGGGCAGCTTAATACACTTAGTTCGGGAACGTGGGGGTGGGGATGAGGACAGAGACAGGTGGTTAGAGAGGGCGGGCAGGGTCCGCGGGGCTGATAAAGGAGGTAAGTGTAGAACCTGGCTACTGGGAGGGAGGAAGACGCTTGATGATGTGCAGGTTAGCTCGCTCAGGAATGTCATGCCTACTACAGCAGCTAGAAAAACATTTTCCTATCCTAACGACTTCAGGACAGTGGGCATGCAGTGATCACCAGAGTCATTTTCCTGCATCAGAACCTGCAAGCTGTTCAAATCTGACCAGAATGTTTGACTTAAAAAAAATAAATGATGACGTGTTTTTGACTTAAAATTGTAGGTTTATTCTTGTATCCCTGGAATGTTGCTTTACAATGGTGGCATTTGCTTTTGAGCTCAGCTGAATACTGGTTTTTAGCTTTTGGCCCTCCAGCATTTACTCAAAATGTCTATGCCAAGCACTTCAGGGATATGGCCACGGAAAATCCAAATGACCAATGGAAGGAAGAAAAGCATATCTATAACCCTCGTTTGGTAAAAACGTGATCTTGCTTTGGGACCACTGAAGGGTATCCAAAAAGGAAAGAGAACATCATACACTTGGATGACCAAAACCTCAGAAGTTGTCAGAAGTGCTGGTTAAATTCACCTTTTTACAGAGATCATTTAAAATCCTTGTCTGTGAGAACTCTCAATGCCTCAAAGTTGATCACCTGAAATGTGGAAGGGTAGAAACTACTTTAAAGACTTTAAGATTCCTAAAATAACTCAGGGCTTGTTGCCGCTATAGTTGGTGCGTGAGGACTCCAGGTGTTTTAGAAGCTGGAACTGCATTGACTGGAATGAAACTGGAGCTGAGCCACGAGAAGCAAAGAACCCAAAGGACAAGTAGAGAGAGGGTTAGCATGGAGGGCAAGGGTCTGCTCAAGTGCCGAGGATGCTGGAGATAGGGTCGGGCGCCTAGGTGTCTCTGTTGCTTCAGTGTCTGCGTCTTCTTGGTTCTGGCTCAGGTCGTGATCTCAGAGTCGTGGGATCGAGCCCTGAGTCGGGCTCCCTGCTCAGTGTTGATTCTTCCCTCTCCACTCCTGCGTCTACCTGCACTCTCTCTCTAAAATAAATCTTTAAAAAAAAAAGAGAGAGATACAGAATCAGCTGGAGCAGTTTGTAGACACTTTAAACAGGAACAGATGTTCAACAAAGGTTTTCCACGTCCTATGTTCCTGACTTCAAGATTATTCCAGTGAGCAAAATTGTTGGCAGGCTGCTTGTTTTTTTGTAATGTGGTTTAGCGTTACTGCAATTTGAATGTCAGAATTTTCATATTGGTGTTCATGTCTCCAAAAATGTGCTGGAACCTGCTTCTCTCTGTTTCTCTAATGGCCACAAGTAAGCTCTGGAGTCAGACTACTGGGTGTTACCACAACTATATCACTAGGGGCGTGGGATATATTATTAAGCAGGTTTCCCCGTCAATGGAACAGGTGCAGTGATGGTGCCAGCCCATGCTATTGGCATGCATTTAAATAAAGGCAACTCCGTATAATGTGCGCACCGTGCTGACAAATGCAAATGCTTCATAGACAATTAACAAGACAGTCCCATATTGTCACGCAGGTGGGCATAGCCATATATGTACTCCATGTATTGCTCAGGCACACTGCTGCCAGTCTCAAGTGCCAGTAAGATACTTCTGAAGATGTGGCATTGGAAATTTGTAAAGGGAAAGGTTTACAGAGCTTTGAAAGCTTGAGTTGAGCTTTTTAACTTAAAACATTGTGTTTAATTGTTTATCCACTTACTGTAGTGTGAGGCTGGATGAATGCAGCATTCTGTGAGGCCACAGACACCTGTCGAGTACTGGAACTTGACTGTATCAGGCCACTGAGACACAGAATTCAGGTATTTTACCCAAGGCTATCGGACAAGAGGATGTTGGGACTGAAACCTCTGATTCCGAGAGCAGTGGCTTTAGAAACTACTCCAGAGGATTTGCTAGGTCAGGTGTAGCTTTTCAACTTGCTGGGCTATTCTGTTTCAAGTTGTACATGTGACAGCACATTTAGCCTGTGTGGTTTGGGACATTTACATTTTCCAAATAGAAAAGATAAACATTTTCCATTCTACCCAAGCAGCTAATTTATTAAACCGTCATTGGAGCCCTTTGGGGAGAACAGAAGCTCAAACAGCATGTTAGCATCCAGCCAGCCCAGTCAGCATTTGTGCAGCCTTACCGTTTGTCCAGGGTCCTGCAGGTGACACAGGAGACTATGTGAATGCAAGCCTCAGTCGGGCTGGTGGCAGGACAGACTCACACCAGGGGATGTGCTAGGGAGACGCTGACAAGGCCAAAGGCATGGTTCTTTACAGAACCAGGACTTGTCTGCAGGGGCCCTATGATAAGCTTCGAGGTTACCCAGGAGTGAGGCAGGGCCGTGCCCTAGGGGAGTTCTAGCTGTCTGAAGTAGTGAGGACCAAAGCCAGGTAGGGGTGCTTCACAGTCAATGGGAAGGGGCTTTTGCTTACAGAAGAGGGACAATCTGTGCATTTTATGTCTCATTCGGCACACATTTCTGAATATTGATTTGCATACCTGGCACTGTACTCATTATTGGGGATGTAGAGACAAGCACTCCCAGGATGCCTAGGTAGCACAGTCAGTTAAGCATCCAACTTTTGGGTTTCGGCTCAGGTCATGATCTCAGGGTCGTGGGATCAAGCCCTGTATGGGAATCCTAAGCTTAACGCAGAGTCAGCTTGAGTTTCTGTCTTCCTCTCCATTTGACCCTCCCTGCTGCGTGCGTGCAACGTGTGTTCTCTCTCGTTCTCTCTCTCTCTCTCTCTCTCTCTCTCTCTCTCTCTCTCAGAAATAAAAATCTTTAAAAAATAAAGATACTCCTTTAAGGAGTGCTGAATGCAGGACAAAAAATTACAGGAATTTTTTTTTTTGGGGGGGGGCAGAAGAGTCAGAAATACGTCCTCCTGGAAGGGAAGAGGGAGTAGCTATAGGGAAGAACATCCCAGGGCCCCATGGGTGGCAAAGGACATTTATAGGAACATTTTTAATCCCTGACAAATAACATAATCTTCCCACAGCCTTTATTAGTTACAGTGTTTGCCTGAATCCTTTCTGTACTTTGATCTCATGCTGATTACAGGGCTTCTTGAGGGCTCGGGTGGTGTCTTCTCCCGCCACCTTTTGTATTACAGTGCGTGGAGCAGATCTGAACTCCCGCAGGCAAGTGCATGCTAGCTGTTGGCAGCGGTTTCCTGTGGTCCCCAGTATCAGTGCAGAGTGGCTCTGCATTTGTCAGAGTCCCTCCAAATGGGCCTCTAGACTCAGACCTGAGTCTGCTTTTTCTCCTGCCAAGCAGGTTTTTTCAGTATTCTCTGAGCTTGGGCTGCCTTTGCTCATGAATTTTTCTCTTCCCACGTGGCAAATTAGGGAATGAGTGGCGGGGTTTATTCGTTTGCTTATCCATTTAACAATGTTACAAAGTCCCACTTGAGTGCAGGACGAGGATTACCACCCTAGCCCCAGTGACCACTTTACCCTGAGGCAGAGGGGGAGTGCTGCATGGCCCCCAGAGTGCAGACTTTCAAATGCCCACAAAGCCTCCTCTTCCTAACACCCTCCTCCCAAACTTCATTCTTGGCCGGATCCTTGAGCCTGCAGGATCTCAATTCTGTTGCTCCTGATTATGATCCTCAAAGGATCACACCCACAATTCATGACGACTCCTGCTCTGTTCTGGTGGCCCCGTGGGGAGAGCCTGACCCTAGCCCAGCCTCACTTTTAAATGTGGCATATGGCATGTGTAATATTAAAACACACCAGGGAGCTAGAGAAGGTGAAGCATACACTAAACCGTTGGCCCTTGCCTTGTGTATTCAAATAATTTGGGGGGAAAAAAAGTTTATGCAGAAGTATAGAATGACAGTGAAATATTCATTGCATTCGTAACCTCACCTTAAAAGCGCACACAACATAAGTGTGTGGCTCTACAGGGATCTGTGGCATTCGTTGCAGAAGTGTGTTACAGAAGGAAGAAACAAAACAGGAACTGATCCACATCTTGGAAGTACTGTAGATTTCAAAGATGTCAAAATGTTGTAAAGTCCTATAAGTATTAAAATTATATCAACCACTTTCAGTTTTAAGCATTTAAAAATAATTAAGCCTACTGTTAGATTTGCTGCCAAATCACCAAATTGGATGTTTCATTGTACCTGGGACACAATGTCCAGTTGCTTTCATTTTGGGAGTCAAATCATTTGCTGAGTGAACACGCGGTTTCTCATTGCGAAATAACTGGATGTTATCATTCCAGTTTGTTGGGAAAACATCTTAAGAGATTAT